AGCATTTCGTTATATAAAACATTCGGACAGATTTTATATAATTTATATAATATGCGTGTGTTATAGTGGAACACGCCTATTTTATAGTTAATAGATATAGTTAATAGACTCTCTCACCTATAATAAGTAGGAGTAGTAAGAGTAAGGAGTCGCTCAGTGGGTCAGTCAGTCGATGCTGGACAACCGTTACTCGGATACTAAAGTATCAGCGACCACAACTAGATTTCTCTGCGTCATACCTATTATATCAAGTTACTAACGTTTTGTACGTCGAACCTATTTTAGGACCGACTTAGTGCAAATACAAGCCTCCATTGTGAAACCACTCTATAACAATATATATATATATTTTTTTTTAAATATGATTCCACCGCTACATAAGAGTTCTCATGTTTCAAAAACAGAAGCTAAACACACACACTCACACACACACACATATATATATATATATATTCTATAAAACGATTTATTTAAAATGTTTTTTCGCTAAACAGTTCTAACCACGTTTCAAAAATGTTCTAGCCATTTTTCAAAAATGGAAGCTAAAAGCTACGAATTTAATTTTCTAATTAAATTAAAGACATATATATATACACAAACACAGACACACACGCGCGCGCACACACACGCGCATACACACACACACACACACACACACACACACATATATATATATATATATATATATATATATATATATCTTGTATACTTATCGTGTCCACTAGTTTCCTTTTTCTATTATATATGTTCGATTTGATATTGTCTGGAAAATTCAGGGATCCTCTTTGCTTTTGTATATGTCTATTGCGTTGTCAATTTTGGTTTGCGATCTCAGTTTTAAATTGTCTGAGGAAAGATTTAATTTTCCGTGTTCGTCTGTTCGGCGTGCTTCTTTTCTTTTTACTCCCGGTGTTGCCATTATTATTATTATTATTATTATTATTATTATTATTATTATTAATATTGTATACTTATTATTATTATTATTAATATTGTATACTTTTTTCCTGTATGTTTTTACGCTTGTAGGGTTTTCTCCATCAAGTCCTATGTTCTCAGACCGATAGAATCTCTCACAGAATATTTCAGTGCTTGCAAACTCCTAAGAGGATGAATAAGATCTTTCTTTCCATTTTTTTTTTCAATTAAGGACTTTAAATTCTATGTACAGACACCAATGATCACAAGGACAATAATTTCGTGAACGTCCACATTTCTTTAAAAACTCAATCCGTAGATCGGTGTACTTCTTAAGCTTTTCAATTTCTTTTACATTTGTATTATGGTCACCAGAACAGCAATCTCGCCGAGTTGGCACTCTCCTGGTTATTATTATTATTATTATTATTATTATTATTTTGACGATGATGATGTACCAAATAAGACACCACCGTAAACTATGCGGTCTGTGTGGATGATCTTGGCCTGGGCATTTTTGAGCAACTTTTCAGACTTGTACAGTTACTATTTCTCGTCGACGACACGTTGATACGTTCTCCACTGACACCAATGCAGGTGGGATGCGACCATATATTTGTGGCGCTTGCATACTTTCTTCGCATGCATACTACGCGCGTTAATATTGTGGCTGTTTTCAAGGCGTACATAAGATGTGGCACAATTAGTAATTGACCTACCGTGAAAACTTCCTAACCGTTACGACACGTCTAGGTGCCTCATAACGGTAATTCTGGGGGGGGGCATTTTCAACTTTCATAGCACAGTCTGCATTTGGCCGAATCCACTTGCTGGTAAATGTTCTTCTTTAGTATTTATGGCTGGGTCCCGCCCAGGGACCTAAGGTTAGAAATGGCGTCATGACACTTTCCACTGACAAAAAAAAAAAAAAAAAAAGATTACATAGATAAAGCCCTTCGTAAGGTGTGGGCTGTACTTGTTAGAACAATTTTCTGTATCTCCTTGAGGCATGGACTTCCAGGTATCCCTTCAATTAGTCTACTGGAATCTTTTCCAACCAGTCCTAGGGCTCCAACTACAACAGGGATTGTTGATGTTCCCATATGCCACATTTTGCGATTTCTATTTCAAGGTCCTTGTACTTTGACAACTTTTTTGAATATCTGCAAAGATACATTGCAGTCGGCAGGGACTGCCATATCAATAAGGAGGCACCGTTTTTGTTTATGGTCTTTAATAACAATATCTGGGCAGGTTGGCCTTGATTGTTCTGTCAGTGTGTATTGTGTAGTCCCATAGAATTGTAACAGGTCCTATCTCCGTAACCGGGTCTGGGTGGTGTTCATACCAGTTTCTTTCAGTTTTCTTCCTGTAGAAGTTGCAGATTTTCCAGTGCAGATATTGGCCCACTCTGTCAGGTCGGGTTTTATATTCAGTGGGTGCCAACACCGTACAACCTGCTACAAGATGATCAATCGTTTCTGGATATTTATCACAGAATCTGCATTTTGGACTGACACAATATTTTAGTATATGTGCTTGATAATTCCCTAGTTAGCAAGCATTGGTCCTGCAAGCAAGGATAAAACCTTCAGTTTCCGCTTTCAACCCTGCACTACGTAGCCACTGATGTGTACGGGTTTTGTCTACGTCAGCTTGTTTGGTACGGGCAGAGTATTGGCCATGAAGCGGTTTATCTTGCCATCGCTTCTGTAACTGGTCTGTTGCATTCGTCTTAGCTATCTTTTTTAGGTATTTTGCAGTTTCAGCCGGTGTATTGTGCTGTAGTTGCATCTCTATGCCCATTTGGAACTCCATTTTGAATTTGTTGGCTTGCTTCATTACGGAGTAGAGACGCTTACTACTTTTCATGTTCCTTGACGCACACCATCATCCAGTCTTCTGTAGTTTCCAAATATCTTTGGAGGCAAATTGTTGTAGTTTTGTAGGACAGTTCTAGTTGAACTAATCCTCTGCCTCCTTCGGATCTGGGCACATACAGACGGTCGACATCAGCTTTGGGATGATGCATGCGATAGCAGGTGCGTAGCTTTCTCGTTTTGGCATCCAGTCGCTTAATTTCAGCTATGGTCCAGTTAAGGACATTAAAGCTGTATTGCACCACAGGGACAGCCAATGTGTTTATGGCTGATATCCTGTTTTTTGAGTTCAGCTCAGTATTTAGTACCAGACGTACACACCTGTAGTATTCTTTTCTTATTTTTTCCTTCATTTGGGGGTGTTGTATGCCATCTCCTTCGCTAATTCCTTAATTATAAACTTCACCATGCTCCATTTCCCTAATCTTTGTGACAAAATTAAATCTATTAAGGGTGTTTCTGTAATTCTACCTTTCTTAAAAGTTACTTTTGCACATTTATCTAATCCGAAGTCCATACCTATGTCGTCACTGAAGTATTTTACAATATTGAGGAGGCCTTTCAACTCATTGTCGTCTTTGGCAAAGAGTTTGAGATCATCCATGTAGAGTAGGTGATTGAATATTTTCTTATTTATTTTGTAACCATAGCTACTGTTGTTCAGTTCATGTGTAAGAGGGATTAAGGATAAACAAAACAGAAGGGGTGACAGAGAGTCTCCTTGAAAGATTCCACGTCGGATATTCAGACGGTTGGATATGGCAGTGCCCCCAGTGTGACTAAGGTATAGTTTGGTGTTCCACATTCCCATGCTGTGCTTTAGGAAATTTAATACCACAGGGGAGACTTTGTACATTTCCAAAGTCTTAAGGATCCAAGAATGTGGAACACTATCAAAGGCTTTACGATAATCAATCCACGCTGCACTTAGGTTCCTGCGTCGTCTCCTGCAATTTTCCAGGATCATCTTATTTATCAGAAGTTGATCCTTGCAGCCATATGAACCTCTTCTGCATCCCTTCTGTTCCAGCGGGAGAGTGCTGTTTGTTTCGAGAAAGGAATAAGTACGGTTCGTCAGTACAGACGTGATCAACTTATACGTTGTGGAGAGACATGTTATCGGTCTATAATTTTTCGGGTCATCTGTTTCAGTTGTTTTTGGTATGAGGTATGTCATACCTTCAGTAATCCATTCCGGGATTTCATAGGGATTATTTTTGATTTCTATTGTATACACATTTCCTTGCGGGTCCCAACCAGAGACCTAAGTTCAGAGATGACTTCATGACTGATCATTTTTGTAAAAAAATAAAACCTATGATTACACACATTTTATAAAGCTCTTCGTAATGTGGGTGATGTACTTGTGAGTACCTTTTATTTGTATTTTTTAAGTCATGGCCGACTAGGAATCCCTTCTATGAATCTATAGGAAATTTTCCAATCAAACCGAGGGCTCCATTGATGTCTCCATGAGCCACACGTTTTAGATTTCCACATCAAGATCCTTGTGTTTTGATAGTCTTTTATGATCTTCTAAGATACACTAGAATCCACAGAGTCTGCCATATCAATAAGAGAGAGAAAATTCTTTGTTTTTTTTTTTTTGTGGTCTTTGATTACGATATCTGGACAATTAGTTTTGATTGTTCTGTCTGTGTGTATTGTAAAGTCCATTAAAACTGCTGTTGTTCTGTCTGTATTGTAATGTCCATTAAAACTTAAATTCCTATCTCTGTAACTGGGTCTGGGTGATTTTTATGCCAATTACTTGCAGTTTCCTTCCCGTAAAATTTGCAAAGTTTCCCGTGCAAATATTGGCACACTCTATCATGCCAGGTTTTATATTCATTGAGTGTGAACACTGTGAAACTTGATACAAGATGTTCAATTATTTCTGGGTATTTATCACTTAGTGGTAGGTATTCTTTAGTATTGATGGCTTGGTTTTGGACTGATACAAGTAGACTTCAATCCCACATTTTAATTATTATTATTATTTTATTATTATTATTATTATTATTATTATTATTATTATCGCTGTTTGTTTTATTTTTTTTTTTTTTTTTTTCGTTTTTGCTATTTTTACTTTCATATCTGGTTTTCTTCAATTGTTTGGTTTGAGTTATTTAGCGATCACATGATAATCTCTTCTAACCTCACGCAAACCATTGGATTCTCGTGGCCCGTTGAATTATCGCTATGCAGCTTATAAATTTGCTGGCTTTTTGCACGCAGGTTGACGTGTCAAAAATACTGGCCCAGGGAGGGAGGTGTGCAGCAGGAAATAATAAGGTTCATTATTTGCCGGGTTCATCTGAGTACCAATTAATATGTTCTTTACCATTTCCCCACTACACTTTTTTTTTTTTTTTTAAATTGCTTTTCGTTTACATTTTTAAAAGGCGAGAGTTTTTAGTCGGCCTAATATCTTTAGAATACTTTTCCCACAAGTCAATTATTCACGAAATATCTGTTATTTCTTTCGTCGTTTTTTCTCCTTCTTTCATTTTTCTTCTTCTTTTTCTTTTCCTCTTCTTTTTTCTTTTCTTCTTTTTCTTCTTCTTTTTTCTTCTTTTTCTTTTCTTCTTCTTCTTTTTCTTCCTTTTCTTCTTTTTTCTTTTATTCTTTTTCTTCTTCTTCTTCTTCTTTTTCTATTCCTCTTCTTTTTCTTTTCTTCTTTTTCTTCTTTTTTTTCCTTCTTTTTCTTTTCTTTTTCTTCTTTTTTCTTTTCTTCTTTTTCTTTTTCTTTTCTTTTCTTCTTTTATTTTTTCTTCTTTTCTTTTTTTTCTATTTCTTCTTCTTTTCTTCTTTTTTTTTTCTTTTCTTTTTCTTTTCTTCTTTTCTTTTCTTTTTCTTTCTTTTTTTTCTTTTCTTTTCTTCTTTTTTCTTTTCTTTTTTTCTTTTCTTTTCTTCTTTTTTTCTTTTCTTTTCTTTTTCTTCTTTTTCTTTTTCTTTTCTTTTCTTTTTTTCTTTTCTTTTCTTTTTTCTTTTTCTTTTCTTTTTCTTCTTTTATTCATTTTCTTTTTCTTTTCTTCTTCTTCATCTTCTTCTTTTTCTTCTTCTTCTTGTATCCCTCTCCTTCATCGTCAGTGTATATGAATTTTAATTTATTCATTTCATGGTCGTCATCATACTTATCGTTTTTATAGTTGCTCTTTTTACTTCATTTTTTTTTTTTTGCTTTTTCATTTTCTTTTGTGATTGTCTTCATACACTTTATCTTAGATTATCCTTGCCAAAAGTAAAATATTTTCATTCCTTTCTTCCTCTATTCTTCATCTGCATCTCCTTTCTTTTCTTTTTCTTCGTCTTCTGTATTTTTTTATTTTCTTTTTCAATGGTCGTCCTTATTCATCTACTGCATGTTTCGTTTCTTCTTCATTTTTTACCTTTTTCATTTTCTTTTTTCATTATAATATTCCACTTCCTCTTCCATATTTTTCCTTGATTTCCTTCATATTTACACCTTTATCATCTCCTTGAATCCTGGTCTTTCAATGTCCCCACACTCTCTCCGCTATGCTTTCTTTGTTTTTCCCTAACCTCTTGCATGTTAATGTTTTTATCGGGTCTTTATTTTATTCCTTCGATCGAAAGCATTAAATATAAAACATGTATAACTGAAAATATACCTTGTTATAAATCAGTTGCACTGTCAATTCCCTGATTGGTTTGTTATTACAGTATAACAACCTCATTGGGGTATTTAACGTTGACAAATATTTTATTGCGGGTAATATATTTTTCTCAATTATGTATTTCAGGTAATATTTTTTTCCAAAAATTGATTGCTGGTAATATATATATATTTAACTAATTCAGCGAGTCTGGCAGAAACCTCAGCAGAATGCACTGGACGGCCGTTTCGTACTATATTTGGGACTCATTAGCAGTGCGCATCCACGACCGAGAATTGAAACCATGACAGTTAGGTTGGTAAGCAAACATCATACCACCTGTTCTAATGATGCTAGGTGCCGAAGTGATTGCAAATCAGACTCAATATAGTGCTGATCGCTCACATATTCCGTGGTGGAACCATACTGTGTTCTCTGTAACCATGGGACTGTGCCCCCTGGAGCCACGACTATTCTCACCAAGCCGCTCACACTGAATCATTAGAAGCCGTTTCAAGCGATGATAAACACAAATACTAATTATTAGGAGGATTTGAACGTCGCTCGCTCACACACACACACACACACACACACACATATATATATATATATATATATATATATATATATATATATATATATATATATATATATATATTACAAATATTTCTGGTATTAAAACATGAGAAAATATCTAAGTTACAAAGAGTAGCTTCTTCGGAGGAAGTTAACGTGGCCATCTTGGAATCAAACGACAGGGTTGTAGATTGTTTTCTGGTACCATTCTAAGTAGTCTTGAACGGCCAGCTTAAAAAATCAGAATAGATAAATAATGTTATATATATATATATATATATATATATATATATATATATATATATATAAAAAAAGTATTTCTGGTATTAAAACATATATTTACACTTTTATATTGTTTTGACACCAGTAATTAAGAGGTTGCTCTCACGCTCCTCAATTTTTTCTGATCAAAGGCATTGCTGTTGGACGTAGTTTATTGTCTTACCCAGGCCGCGGATGTAGTCTATAATCATATCCAGGACGGGTTAATTCTCTGACAACTTGCAACAATAGGGAAGAAATTAAATTCTGACAAAGAAATCAATACAGAAGATTTCTTCAACGCGTGGTCTCCCTGCAGGATGAAAATAATTATGGTTCTGCCTAACTTTCCAACATTTGTAACTGTTAGTAATGTTTGTCTTTTTACCATCCTTACCAACAGGATTCTGTCATTCATTTAAAAAATGGCCACTATGTTTTTTTTTCTTCTCGACCTTTTTTTTTATTTTCTTATTTTCTTCAGACTTGATGTATTTTTCATTTGATTTTCAGCTTAATTTGCCTTTCTCGTTTCTTTATCTTTTTCTTCCTGTTTTTGTCCTTTAGATCTTATTTTCTTTTTTGGTGATCAAACGCATACTTTTCCTGTATTTCTATGTATTTAACAACCATTGGCGTTTATTTAAATCTAGAAAATATTATGAGAAGGTGTGATTTATTTTTATATAATAATGGTTTAATGAAACAAGTCTTAATAATTAGTCCATAACGGAGGAGACTAGATGGATTCATACCTACTCAAAAGTTGATAAACAAAGATAAAGAGATTTTAATTAGAACTGAAAAACCATGGCTGTGTAGCTAATCAGTGTTTCCTTGATTAATTGATTCGTTTTCTTAAGCTTATCAACCTTTTGCAGGTTATTTCAAACCAGAAAATATTCCGTCCTGGGTATGACGATAAACTGCATCCAGCAGCAAGGCCTATGATCAAGATGTTTTGAGAAGTGTGGAACTATCTCTTACTTGCTGGTGTTCCCAGGTCCGGTGTGGTAGCACCTGTTAGGGTCCTAGCTATGTGCAAATATTTAACCACCCAACCTGGTATCAAACTCTAAGAAAGTGTAGAAATAGGTTTTAATATTATCAGAAATTAATTTTTAAAGGACAAATTATTACCAGCAATATATTTTTGAAAAGGGGAATAATTACCAGCAATATATTTTTGGAGAAAAATATATTACCAGCGATACATTTTTGAAAAGGGGAATAATTACCAGCAATACATTTGTGGAGAAAAAGATATTACCAGCAATATATCTTTGGAGAAAAAGATATTACCAGCAATACATTTTTGAAAAGGGGAATAATTACCAGCAATATATTTTTGGAAAAAAATATTAGCAAAAATTTTTGAAAAAACATTATTAGCAATAAAAACTATTGTCAGTATTAAATAACCCATTGAAGTTGATATACCGTAAAACAAAACAAAACAAAAAATATTTTTAGATTGTAAGAATATATTTTTTTTATGAAAATGATTTAATGATACAAGTTTATTAACTGACCCATAGCTGGGTGAGAAAAGACGGATTCGTACCTTTCCCAAAAATATTGGTGTCTGATCCCAACTGTAAATATAGGCCTGACGATTGCGTCTAGTATGAAACAGCCTATCGCCTCTGAGTGTTGATTTCAATGTTCACTTTATATATATATATATATATATATATATATATATATATATATATATATATAAATATATATCTTATATCTTAAGGCATGCTATATTTATGGAATAAAGTGCTCAATATCATAGATAGAGCGTGTAAATATATAAAAGTGAACATAAGTCAACACTTAGAGCGACAGTCTGTTTCATGCTATATGCAATCGTCAAGCCTGACGATTGCATATAGCATGAAACAGACTGTCGCCTCTAAGTGTTGACTCCTATGTTCACTTATATATATATATATATATATATATATATATATATATATATATGAAAGATGTTATAGTGGTTCCAACGAGAGAAAAATGTGTATATTAAAGAAGAAAGCTACCATAAACGTTTTCGGTTGTAATGTGGATTTTTTGTAAAAAATATTATGCTTTATTTTCTATAATTTTACTACACGTGCTTCAGGTCTCGCGACCGTCTTCAGGTAAAAGGCGGAGATTTCCACATATTATTAAAAATAATTCTTTTTTTTTTCCTTTATGTTTTTCGATGTTAGTCCCGATATGAGACATTCTCTGTTTTTGTTTTAGCAATCCGAATGTCTTTCTTGAATTGGCAGTGAAGAGTTCTGCGCGAATGGTCATAAAACAATTAAGATTGGTCCGAGAGAAATGATGAATTAGTTATCAGTATCTTATCTTTTAATGTTTTAATGACCCCTGTGTGTTCTTAGATCTATTTTCCATTTTCGTGTGTTTCTGTCAGCATGCGGGTATATATGCGTGTGTATATTCCCCCTCCACACATACACTGTCTTACTACGAGGAAGTAGTAAACACATTTGTACACATGCACACATCACATAAACGCACACACACTGTCCCACCACAAGGAACCAGTAAATACACACACATACATACACACTTATATTTTCCAAGTTATATGGAACCAGTATACACATACACACACACATACACACATATTTACGTACATACATACACACGTACTTTCTAAGTTGTGTAGGATTTGTGTGCGTGCCCGTGAGTAGTTCCCCTACTTTTGTCAACATGCGTGTATATATACAGTGTATCACAAAAGTGAGTACACCCCTCACATTTCTTCAAATATTTAAGTATATCTCTTCATGGGACAGCACTGAAAAAAATTACCTTTTGACACAATGAAAAGTAGTCTGTCTGCAGCATATATAACAGAGTTAATTTCTTTTCCCCTCAAAATAACTCAAAATATAGCCATTAAAAGCTAAATCCCTGGCAACAAAAGTTCATCCAGCATTTTAAAAGAGCAGGGTCCACTCAGAACAGGCCTCAAGTAGGTCGTCCAAAGAAACTGAGCGCACGTGCTGAGCGTCATATCCAAATGCTTTCTTTGAAAGGTCGGCGTAGGAGTGCTGTTAGCATTGCTGCATTGAGATTAAAGAGATCAGGATTCAGCCTGTTAGTGTTCAGACCATACGCCGCACACTACATCAAATTGGTGTGCATGGCTGTCACCCCAGGAGGAAGCCTCTTCTGAAGGCAATACACAAGAAAGCCCGCAAACAGTTTGCTGAAGACATGTCAACAAAGCCCATAGATTACTGGAACCATGTCCTATGGTCTGATGAGACGAAATTTAATTTGTTTGGTTCTGATGGCATTAAACATGTGTGGCGGTGACCAGGTGAGGAGTATAAAGATAAGTGTGTCATGCCTACAGTCAAGCATGGTGGTGGAAATGTCATGGTCTGGGGCTGCATGAGTGCTGCAGATATTGGAGAGTTACATTTCATTGAGGGAAACATGAACTCCAACATGTACTGTGAAAGAGCAGAGCATGACCCCCACCCTCCAGAAAACTGGGTCGCAGAGCAGTGTTCCAGCATGACAATGACCCCAAACACACATCCAAGACAACCGCTGCTTTACTGAAAAGGCTGAGGGTAAAGGTGATGGACTGGCCAAGCATGTCTCTAGACTTGAACCCAATAGAACATC